TTAACGATCGATTGGCTCGATCAGCCTCGCGACTGAAATGTATGGTAGACTCGAGCCTATGAAGGAAAAGAAGCGAGAGCATGGCTCGGAATGGCTCAAGCCTATGAGAGAAAATTCTTCTTTTCTGACAACCGACTCCAAAAAGGAAGATAATGGAATTTTAAAAGAGAAGAAAGGAAAGGAGCCTTTGGGATATGAAAGAATAGCAGGATCCTCATCAGGGGCACGGTCCTGCTCAAACCTTCAGTGTAGAAAGATCTTTTTCGGTAATCCCACTAGAGCCAAAATAAGCTAGAAGAAAATGAAAGAGTATAACTGAAAGGCTGGTTGAAAGAAACCACAGCTTAAGTCATTCTCAAAATCACCACAAATGCACACCCTATTAGCTAGAGAAAGCTTACGCTCATGCTGCAAGAAGGCAGCCAGTGCAATGTGTCCTGTGAAAAAGGAATTAACGATGCTCAGGAGAGCAGACAACCTCTAGCCGACAGCTATGAAGAAATTAAGCTCCAGTGGGATCCGTGCCCGAAAGATCTATCCAATATCCATGGCTCGATAAGAAAAGAGTGGAGAAAAGGAAAATTCCACAAAAACAGTAAAAATATCTCAACAAGTTTAAAATATGAACAAAACAGTGTCCATATTAGGACCAGTTTGCAGTATGGACATTGCATCAGAAATATGTACTGTCCATACTAATTATGAACGGGTGGCAACCCTAAGTAGGCCTAATGGAAGTTGAACGGACTATATGGCGAATCTTTGTCACGAGAGGTGCCGGTCCTGCCGAGGTTGAGTCCGTTGATCTGGAATTTGAACACTGGAAGATGGTCCAGTGCTCCGCCTACTCGAGCCGCGCAATCCCATTGAATTGGGATGAGCGGTTTCGAAAATACAGGGTGGAAACAAAGTTTGTTGACAAAAATATAACATTCTGGAGGCTTATCTACAAAAGCTGCAACGTTTCAACTTTCCTGGATGGTAGTAGAAAAAGTGGAAGCTTTACTTTCAGAGGTACTTAGTCATTTTGAACA